GCAAATTCCTTGGTTACATACAAAAATATTAGAGAGTTTAAAATTTATATTTAATTTTGAACCATCAGCAGTACTTACTAACTGAGTAGTTTTCTCAAAATATTTAGTTGGAATTAATCCTGCCTTTATGTACTTCATATCTGCCCACCGTCAATTAAATCAATAGTTTCGACAGTAAATTCAAAATTTCTAACTAATGTAATTTTAACATACCATTTCTGATAAATTATTTTTTTCAATACATTTAAAACTTTATTATTAGAAGAGTTAGATTGTGATGTTTTATCATCTTGAATGTCACTTTCTCTAAGTGATATTTTTTCTAAGGCTAAAAGTCTAGACTTTAAGACTTTTATGTCTTCTTTGACATTATGAATTTCTTATTTTAAGTCTTGAACCATAGTGGGTAAAACTTCTTTTATATGGAGTGGGTCATTACTTATGTCCTTTTCATTTCTATTAAGGACTTCCTTTAATGAATATGGTTAAGACAGATTAGGTCTCTTTTCTTCTGGATTTATCTCTAAATATTATTCAGTAGCTTTTCTTTTAGAAATTGGATCTTGAATTTTATCTATAAGATCAAGAATAAAATTTTGTGACTTAGTTAAAGTATTTATACTTAATCCATTAATGGCTAAAAATAGCTTTATAATAATTAGTTTCTATTTTACAATGAGAAGAACAAGTTTTATCTTGTTCGACAATTTCTGTATGTGAAGATGAATTACTAATTTCATTAATGTTATTATCTTCAGAAGAGAAACTATCAGGATAGTCTTCTGACTCACTTTCTGAATTTAATGCAATTTTAAAGATTTTATCTTTAAGGTCTTCATCTTTAATTAATTCATTAATCTGTTGTTTAGTTGAACATTTAGAGGCAATGTGACCTTCTTTTTCACACTTAAAACATTTAATAAAAGGCTTCCTGTCCTTTTCTTTGACCCGTTTAGTAGGTTTGTTAGCTTTCTCATGTTCCTTAGCATAACTCTTTTTATAGAATTTTGGACCCTTTTTATAAGGCTTAGAATAAGTTTTTCTTTTACGAAAAGCTTTATCTTTTGGGATATCTAGATTATAGGCAAATTGATTACAAAATTCACCAAGTTCTTTTCTACCAATTAATCTTTGTCTTTTAAGTTGGGCTTTAAGATTTAAATCATTATAGAGAGCTAAACCTTCCAAAATACATTCAGAAACTAGTTCTCCATAAGTATAATGTTCATAAGAGATTTTAAATCCTCCATGTTTTTGCTTTAAGCAAATCCTTATTTTTTCAGCAAATAAACTAGGCAAGCCTGATATAAATTTTTATTTTCAAAATTCATTATTAGCATATGGTTTTAATAAAACTTTAGCCAAAAAAACATTTTCTTGGGTAATTATATTTCCATTTTCTGCTGTTGTTATCTTGACTGTATTTAAAATTTTATTTTGTTGAATTGGATTTAAATAGTTATCCCACCAGTCTCTTAGTTGGCATGTGAACCCGGTGGTTATAAATTTAGTAGTAGCATGATCAGAATTACGATTAGCTTTACAAATTGAAGCATACATTAAAATTTTATGTAAAACTTGGTGAATTAAATATTCAGACATACCATCAATATTCTATTCATAAATTGAAGAGGCATCATATCCTTGTTGATCAATAAAAAAGTTTTATAAAATATCTTGGGGTGTTGTTCTTTGATAATAAGCTCTCATTGGAGGAGCTTGTGCATATATATTTGGTTGAGATTTTGGTTTAGAAAATCCAATTTTATTTATCTCTTCGGACTGTATTTGGTTTAAAGAATCTTTAAATTGTTGAATTTCAGTTTTAGATTGCTCTTCACTATTAGAAATGACATTTAAAGACAGTCCTTTTAGTTTATCTTTGAGTGCATTTATGAAGTCATCTTCCACTTTATTATGAAGATTAAAGGTGGAAGTATCAACTGGTGGTTTGATATTGACTTATTCAACTTCATTGTCCTTAAGGGATTGTGAGGATGAAGTTTGTTGTGAATTTATTAAATTCTCAATTTTAGTGAGACGTTGACCTATAGCTTGAAGACAAACATTGATATAATTATTTTGTTTAATAGAAATAGTGTTGCCTGTATAACAAGCATTTATAAAAATTTCTTCAAAGTTATTCAAATGTAACTTTATCGGTTTAGTTGTTAGAGGATAAAAACTATTTATAGTTTTTCCATCAAGTGTTTCCCATTTATGTTGGAAGATTTCTATAACATTTAAATGTTCAATAGTAAGAGGAACATAATATGTTAAAAATCAGTTAACAAAATAAATTATCCTTCTTTCCCTTTTTATATAAAGGTAAAATATTTCTTTATAAATTTGAAGTTCTTCAGAACTCATAGTTTTAAAAAACCAATTTATGAATTCTTCATATTGATGAAGATAAAATTCTTTATTACAGGTGTCTTTTATCATCTGGAATTCTCTTGGGGTGAAAATCCATGAAAACTATAGTTGAAATCCGATTTCAGATGGAGTTGGATCATAATCTTCTTCTTGAGAAGAAGATTCATTAGCTGGTCTGTATATACCATGTGGAATATTATTTCTGAAAATTTTAATTTCTTCAATTATGAGTTCTTTATCTCTTCTTCGATTTTAGATCGAGGAAATAGATTTTCTTAAGGGTGTAAAATAACCTGATGAATTTTCTGATTTATTAGAAGATTGTAAATAATTCCTATAATTTATCCTAGCATATGGTAACATCACCCTAGATGATTGGGCGATTTAAGTTATTTCTTCATTTATTTTTGGTTTTTTAGGAACCACAAACTCCAATTGCTAGGTGTCTGGAAACTGGATATTTGACCATTTAATAGTTTTAGGGATTTCAATTTTATTTTTGACCGTGTTGGTTTCAATTAAAGTGGTTTGACCTTTAAGGTTCAAAAGCTTAGTCTCAGGACATAAGTATTTATGACTTTATAATAGACCCTATAAGTAAACACAATTATATTTGTGCATTCTTTATAATTGTAAACAAAAATTTTTAATATTGCATTTTAAAACATCCAAAATATTTTTATCCGTCAAAAATACAAAAAGATTAGGAAAACAGTTAAAATAAACGGGACTAGTACTTAAGTTGGATTGCTTAACACCCATTAAAGACTGATCAAAGTTAAGATATCTAGCATCTCGTAATGCTAACATAAAAGAAGCATTTAATCGTTGAAGAGTTAAAAGTTTTAAAGTAACCTGTACTAATCCAATATACAAAAATTTATAATATTTATTTTAAACCTTTACGAATTCTCTTTCAATTAATAGCTGTAAAATATCTCCATTTTGATCAAAAGGAACAGTCCTTTCAATTGTTTTTATAGTTAAACTCGATTTAAAATCACAAGTGCTAATATTATAGATTTTCTTAGTGGGGTAATGGGGTATATCTCAGTTCTGCAATTTATTTTCAATATCAGATAATTCTATATCTTTCATATTTTTAACATAGTCATATTTATGATTAAGTTTAAATTTAAATAAGTTTAAAGCCATAGTGGTATTTCAAAGTTGTTTTGTTGACTTATATGTTTCACTATTATCGTCTTTTAGTTACTACTGTAATTCGTCTTTTAATTCTGGTACAATACTGTTAATGTGACTCTTCCTACAATAATTGTGTTATAATAATTTTCACAGGTATTTATTGTTGATAAAACCTTGCTACAATGATATTTCTCTACTATCAAAATCCTGATACATTGATATTTTCCACTATCCTATTTTTTGCAATCAATCTTGTCTACGCTCGAAAGGAATAAAAACGGCCTAACACTTCTATCCACGAAAAAAACGGCCTAAACCATCCCTAATATATATATATATATATATTATGAAATTGTCAGTATAAAAATAAATTTTTTATATTTTTTTATTAATGTTTGAATTACTGTTCAAATATATATTTAGGCTGTCCAAACAGGTTTTACTATTTTCTGTATTGTAAAATTTTTTTTGAAATCATCTAACCAAACAAATTTTTTATTTCAAAAAATATCAAAATCACTTTCTTAAAACTCTTCTAAAAAACTGACTTTAGTTTCCATGAACAAAGACTTTTGGTGGATGCCGACATTTAGCTTGTTGCAGCCACTACTGGCCCACAAATGATAACTAAAATCCAACCAATGATTACATTAGATGATTTCGATGATCACGTAATTTTCCCTCTAAACCGAGGGTTAAGCTATGGTAATCAAGTCAGTATGTACCGTGTTCCTATTGTATCCGTGCCGTAGTTGTATTGTTAAAAAAAGTAGAAATATGGTAATGACATACAACCATTTCCTATGGTATGGAAGTGTTTGAATATATTATACATTTCTGAAGTTTATGGTAAATCATTGGAGTTGCCTATGGATATTTTCGTTCATTTTGGAGCATGTGTTTGCCCTCTACATTTGAAATTGTGCTACTTCTTGTAATGTCATACTAACGAGTTTGAGGGCGGCATTTTGGTTAGATGACCTGTTGTTTGTGGTAATTAGAAGATTCATAAGTCTTTGCTTTTTGTCTTTGTAGAACTTTTATGTTTGTTGGCATTTGGTTTGTACTACTTGCCTACCTTTGCTCCTTTTTTTGTACTAGATCTTTTCTATTATTTATAAAATCATTTGTTTCCTAAAAAAAAGTATCTTCCTTTCTTAACTTGGACAATCAAATAATAGTTGGAGCAGGGAAAGGGGTGACCTATTACTTTGGGAAACCAATATGTTCTAGAAATGTCTAGACCTATTTAAGCCGGTGGTCTGTCCACTCAAACCTTCCACTGATTCAATCTGTACATGGTTTAACAATCTAAATAGTCCTGATATTGTTTTATTTTTTTATTTTTGCACTTTTCATATAGATATAGAGGAAGAGAAGGTAAGGTGCTATGTGGACTAGTGAATTTTTGCTGTGTGATTTTGATTATTTACTCTCATTCTGCCCTTAAAGTTTGTGCCCTTTCAATTATAGGTGGTATGAAGGTAAAGGCTGACAGGGACGAATCTTCACCATATGCAGCCATGCTTGCAGCACAAGATGTTGCACAGCGATGCAAGGTCTTGCACTTTCATTTTATGATATTGTGTTTGGTCTGTGCAAGTCGGGTTGAAATTCAGATATGTATTACAACTTAATATTTTATCGCTGGTGATTTGCAGGAACTTGGCATTGAAGCTCTTCATATTAAGCTTCGGGCTACAGGAGGGAATAAGACTAAGACACCTGGCCCAGGTGCCCAGTCTGCACTCAGAGCTCTTGCTCGTTCAGGCATGAAAATTGGTCGCATGGGTATATTTTCTACTTGGAGTTTTGTCATGTTGTTTACTCTGTTTACTTGCTTTCAACTTATTATCAACTCTTAATAAATACCTTGTCCATGTTATTAGCTTTGATTTGTTTCTTTAATAATACATAATGTTAACATAAAGCAGTTCTTTTTCTTAACCTAAAATTAGTTACAAGTCCATTGCTTGCATTTACGTGTCCAATAGATCTGCCCTTTTTCTTTGATTAGATGTTGCTACCCTATTGCTTTCCTAATAAAGGTGCAGTCTTCATGAACATATGTTGTTTCTTTTTTCAGAGGATGTGACTCCAATTCCCACCGACAGTACTCGTAGAAAAGGTGGCAGAAGGGGAAGAAGGCTGTGATTTGTGTCTTTGTTTTCAAGCATATTTGCAGCTTTGGCTGATATATTTAGTAATGATGCAAGTTTGGTTCTTGTCTCCTTAGTTGTTTGAACAGTTCTTCTTGTTCCGAATATTAATTTACTGAAATTTGATCATTTGGAGGATAGCGATTTTGCTGGACTTACAGCTAATTATTAATTTACTGAAATTTGATCCATTAGCATTAATTGATTGTTATGCTATTTGTTTTTTGTTGATATTCTTTGAAGTCTTCAAGCTTGGACGCTTGGGACATTGGAAAAAGTGGGATAATTTGCTGATTGATACTATAAGGTTGTTAGATCTCAACATTTATAGTTTGCCAGATTGTCTTCTTGTTATGGTGGCATTTGGGCGGTCAGTTGGGCCGGTGGGGATGGCTAGTATTGTGAATGCGTAGTTTCAATCTTCTAACCGAGGCAAGCTGGTCTGGGAATAATGAGATGACTTTTAACAAATTATTTGGAGCTCGTCAAGGTCTCGAACCAATCACTAACTGACAATAGGCGAGCTGAGTCCGAACAACATAGTATTTAGGCTTCAAAACAGAGTTGTGTAAACTGCATCAGTATGGATGTGAAGTGTTCGAAAATTTCAAGCCCAAGCGAATTCTGATAAATAAGCTTCAAGGCGCGGCTTCAAAACAATACCAATTCGTCCTGTCAGAGCGGGTAGAATTAGCACCTGCTCTGAGATGGATCAGGTCACCACCACCTAAAGCTGGGTAAGAGCTATATGTATCTGATTAGAGATATGATTAGCCCAAATGTAGAGACTACAGTTGGAGCAGAGATTCAAGAAATCAATTGGACCCTTGAGGCTTTTCATAACCAACATACATTTACCAAAAGATACCGGAATTTTCTGAAATTTAAGCAGCACATGGAAACGTACCCACGTCGATGGTGGAAAGTGTAATTTAATCAAACGAAAAATTGAACTAAATGAAGCTGTAAATGCTTTGGGTTTCATTTCATCTTAGTTGTGAATCTTTTGAAACTTTCTGTTTGTATTCGATTCTATAGAATCCACTCACTGTGCACCTTGTTTTGCGGCTTAGAGGTGGGATCGTTAAGCCTTCGTTGATGACATTGGCTCGGAAATACAACCAAGACAAAGATGATGATATGCCAGAATTAAACTCCCTGTGCTTTACTTCGTTCATTATTATCTCAATATTTATTTTTGATATTCTGTTCCCTATATGTTTTTATTTCTCAGATTTCCGGTTTTATTCTTCTTTATCAAATATAATATTTTATATATCCTTCCAATTTTTCATCGTACCAAACGAAGCATTAGTATGAGTGGGTAGTCAATGGGACATGTCAGAAGCACATCCTATACCTTTACCAAGGTCTCTAATGTCTTAGACACTTGAACTTCATTTATCTGGAAAAGTACACGCAACATCGTTGTTGATGACTGTAACATTTTTATGCTGCCTCTGATGATATTGTTGTTTTGTACTGCAGCTAAGGCCAAAGAAGAAGATTAAGTGAACAACTCCTGTTGTGTGTCTTCAAGTGAAACTGGATCATCAGATTTTGACTAAGCTGTCTTTTATTTGCCTCAACTCCAGTGAGTACTAGATTATATTTAATCTTGCCTTCCATACTGCATTCTGCGTTGTTTCCATGCTGCATTCTGTATTTCAAATTTCTCGGATTTTTCTTGTGTGGTTAGCAAGCATGGTGTGATGTTGAAAATAACATAGAAGGTTACCATGTATACATGAACTCAATGGAATAAAAGTGTCGGACACATCATTACTTAAATCGAAATAATCAAAAAGTACAAGATCGGAAACAAGTAACAGATTTTCTAAAATTTGAATCTCAACATAATCAGGATCGAAATGTTCAATTTTTGATCAAGTCGAAGCTGCATCTGATCATTTTCACGTTTAAGTTTTACTATGATCTCATCATGGTTACTAGAGTTTTGTGGATCATATATATTAGCCGAACGTGTTTTCGATACCATTAGTCTATGCCAACAATAATATACCTCAAACTCACAATATTTATCATATAATTGTCGCCACCTTAGTGTGGGTTCGATATGAACATTCAGAGGCAGATAGTCGGTCGCAAGCCCAACAATTACGTGTCCAACTTGACCGAATGAGTAATAAGAGTTGATAGGCTCATTGCGAAACTCACATTTTTGTCCATACTAAGTAACATTGGTGGAATCTGTGTAGGATCCAATTGAGCGAACTATATTAGACGATGCTTGTCGGCCAGTTGAGCGTTGACGTTCACTAGGTGTAGATGAACTATATTCATTGCGTGATGAAGAACTTTTTTACTGGATTGCTTATTTGATGTGCGCCTATATTTTTTTTGGGTTATGATATATACAATTAAGAATGATGGTTTATATAGACAAGGAATGCAATTATATCCACATTTGACAAGATAGTTACTGCATACGACTAACTTGACTTGACACTGATAAAATAATGATATGACTTCATAGTGATAAAATAATGACATAACAATTCAATGGCAAATGACTGATATGACTTGACACTACACTAATAAAGTTATATTCGTAATTTACAATGATAACCATTATTTAAGATATGACATTGGGAAAAACAATTACACACTTACTATATTTGTTAATCTTCATCAGATATATAATAATTTGACAGATATTGTGCATTATACATTGTTTTGCTCAACTGGTGTCAACTCTCGTCCAAATGCAAATCTCACCATGTTTTTACTAATTAGAGCATGTAACAACGACACCGACGTACCAACATTCTATTATTCTCTCTTCGAACACGTTTTATTGCTGATTTGTGGTCCTCGCTTTAGCGATCGTTTATGAGACACTGCTATGCCAAGTTCTCTTAGTTGTGTGAATAGTTCGTTTGATTCATCAGTACAAAAAGCCCCACTCTGGTTGTATTCTTTTGGATCGAAAAATCTCTCGGCCTTATAATTATCATTTCGCTCTTGTAACAACCAAACTCGTACACGTTTGCGATTGTTAAATCTTGTAGCGAAATTTGATGTAGACACAATTTTTAGTGTTTGTCATATCAATCACAAATAAGGTATTTAAATAGTTGTGTCCAAACCCTAGTGTGCTGAACTCGTCACAACAGTCAATAGTGTGTTGTCACTTCAACACATGGTTTGCTGAAACTCATTCAGGGTTTAGTCATTTCAGCACATGACATTAAGTAGTCACGAGCGGTCACTTTTTCTTCTTCAGCCTCATAAAATGGCAGTAAGTTGTAACTTAAAACAAAAAAAAAAAAAGGAGATCAATTTGTTGATTTTTTGCGATGGCTAGTGATTACTAACAAATTGGAGTCAAATTGCACCTTTTTGCATATTGAGTTGTGGTTTGGCAAGGTCGATTACTTCATACCATAACACATACACAATGTGATTTTGAGTCACATATTGTGATTTATTGCTTGAAAAGTGCAAATTGATCTGAGGGATTTTGTTTGGTTCCTGTCCCAAGCAGTGATGTTGATGAAGAACCTTAGCATCAATTTGGCAAGCCCTGAGTTTGGTGATCATGTGACTATTCTTTGCCACATTCTCATTTCCTGACAGTATGTTGATTGATTACGCATATGCTTTTATATATCAGACAAACACCAAAAAGTTTGCCCTGCATAGAACAAGGGCTCATTAATTTCATTATTATTTTTTTCTTATTTTTAAGTTAAGGTGAGAAGCAACAATGTTCTTTTTCATGTGTGTTGCCATATTACTTCTACATTGGATACAACCTTTTCATAAGCATCAACTATGAGTAAATGACCCTTCAATTGCTAATAGCTAGCACCATATAAGCACCCTATTTTTGAGCATTGACTCTGGTATTTGAAGATAATTCTAGAAAATGTTAAATAAAGAAGTGTTTTGTGTGGAAGAGTGCGTGTTCGTTCCATGGTGTAAAATTGAAGCAAAATCCAAAACAGAACAAAATTAGTGACAACAAAATCGAATAGAGCCTCTTACTCTACCAATGTGGGCAGAAGTTAGTGTTATTACAAAAGATGAGAGAGAGAGAGAGACAAAGAAAGCAAAATAGAGACAGCATAATACCTTTGGTGGGTTGTCGAAGTTATGGTCATCTATCATTGGAGGACAGGGGCAAAGATAGAGAGAGACACATATTTGTGAAATCCTTCCTGCAGCTCAGATCTTTCGTCGGAGGAGTGGTCTTCGTAAGAAGTAGACGTCTACGCCAGAGTGGTCTTTGTTGAAGGTGTGGAGTGGAGAGGGTAAATGCAGAGATGATATGTGGGTGATTGGGAATTTTGTGTTTAGAACACTCGGGGATTTTGTGATTTGGGAAAGTTGGGTTCTGATTTAATTTGCTTACATTGTCATTTTGAATGAAGATTTTAAAAACGTCATTCCTAATGACGTTTTATGCCTATAGTTAAACTGTTGTTTACGCCTTAACTCTGTTAAGAAACCGTTTATTTTCAAAATGAATAATAAATTGACATTTAGACGTCATTTTCAATTACGCTTCTACAATTTTATTCAATTGGAAAACATCATTTAAATGACGTTTTCACCTAAGAAGCCGTCATTTTAAATAACGTTTTAAAAAGAAACTAAGTTTAAAAAATAAGTATAAAAATGACTAGGTTTGGAATAAAGATTTGGTAAGAGCTGTCTTTGGTCAAAAATTCAAGATTGCGAACATACGCTAATTGATAACTAATTGCTAATTTTTCAGAGCATTCCCTTGGGGGAACAAGTTGAAGATCTTGGTAGGTAGATAGGAGGGAAGTTAGAGCAGTGTCCAAAATTTTCCTCCACCTCTCACCCCCCCCCCCCCCCCCCCCCCCCCCAAACACACACAACAACAACAACAACAACTAACACAAAAAAAAAAAAAAAATTTCATCTTCACGTGTTAACAATCAGTAGGATGGTAACTGAGTTTTGTTAATTAGTCTTGATTCTCAATAACTTTAATTGACCATATCGATTGATTGGGCACTAATTAATTGATGGGTTTAGTTACAAAAATTTTCTTTAAAAATTAATGATGCTAATTAAGGTGTTAGTTCCTATATTAATGAGTTAATTACTAATATTGATAAGATTATTAGCGAATTGATGAGGCTAATTTGTGTTAATTGCTTAATTAACTATTTTTTATCATTTAAATTAAGTTTATGTCATAATGAAGCTAATTAGCTTAATTGGCAAATTAATTAAAAATTATTTTTTTTTTAATTTTATTTTGTTTCAAAGGTGTGCAAATTGCAATGGTCATTTTATTTCCATTGATTTGAACGTGGGCATGGAACTCACAATTCCCCCAACCAACTCAGATAATTTTGGTTAAAACCCCAACCCAACCCAACCCAACCCAATGGCAAGCCAA